ACAGATTTAACTAACAAGTTAAAAGTACTGGCCACTTCTTGTTGTTGTGTACCATCGAGTCAGTGTTGGCACATAGCTGACCCCCGGTAAATTGTCAGAGGCGGTTAATTGCTTGGGGAAAGACTGTCTGCTTTGCTCCCGTGGAACAGTTGGTGGATTCAAACTGTGTGCCTTTGTGTTGACAGCGCAGCTCCTTACTGCTAAGCCACCAGAGCTCCCTAAACCTTTGTTAGAGTTGGATTATTTTATCTAACTTAAATAAAAGAATTTTGTTCAAATTCATCAGCTAACTCTTGTGCTTTTCCAGGATTGAATTTCTTTTACCAACTTATTAATATATATTTAAGTAGAATGGGGGTGGAATGGGGAGAGTATCAAGAAGGCTAAATAACAAATACAGCTTTTATGTTCTTGAAAACTAGTAAAGCTATCTCTGATTAATTTAACCACTGACTAAGCCTTTAGTACTGTTCCTCTCATATTTATACTTTAACTAGTGATTAAGTTTAGCCGTAACAGGAAATCCAGTATGACAGTTTTAAAATTGTATTTCTCTTTTATGTATAAAGTCTAAGTGTCTTACAGTAGTTCCTTGGTCATCCAGATCTGTAGAACTTTCTGTCTATTAAGTGCCATGGAGTCAGTTCCAAAGCACAGTGACCTCATGGACAGCAGAAATAAACGGTTGCTAACCCTGTGCCATCCTCAGAATTGTTGTTGTGTGTGGGCCCATTGTTGGAGCCACCGTGTACGTCTGCCTTCTCAGAGTCCTTCCTTTACTTCACTGACCATCTACTTTACCAAGTTTGACCAAGTATGACTTCAAGGACCAGCCCAAAGTCTTGATCTCTCTTCTGAGAAGCAACCTGACTGCACACCTTCCAAGACAGATTTGTTTTCTCTTTGACAATCAGCAGTATATGCAATATTCTTCAACACCAGAGTTCAGAGACATCAGTTGTTCAGTCTTTTTTATTTATTGCCACATTTCACTTCTCTAATGAGCCAATTGAAAATACCATGTTTAGGGTCAGTCAAGTATACCACATTCTTCCCCATTATCTTTTCTCACATTGTGGTTCAAGGTGGCTACTCCTGCTTCATTCTACAAAGAGGAGGAGTGGTGCCTTCTATCACCATCACCTTGAAAAAGTTGCTTATGCCACTTCCTCTAACAGCCCAGTGACTAGTACTTCATTTTGTGTGTGACCTTACCAAGCCGCAAAGCAGATTAGGAATATAGAGTCTTTATTCTGCTGGACTTTGTGCTTCACAAAAATGGGAAGTTCTATTTCTGATCTAAGAAATATAGAAGGAAAGCAGATATTAGGGACAATTAGCTTCTTTCTTTGGCTGTTAGTATTATTTCTCCAATGAAAGTAAAAATCCGAGTGTTTCTTTTTCCATAGAAATATTCTTCTACTGCCAAGAACCTCCCCAAAATGCTAAAGAACTATGATGTCAGTTTAAAGACTAAGGTGCTCCTGATTCAAATCCTTTTAATACTTCTTATGCATCTGATAGTTGGACTGTGAATAAGGACAACAGAAAAAGAATCAGTGTCTTTGAGTTGTGGTGTTGGAGAAGAGTACTGAATATCTCTCACGGACTGCCAAGAAAACAAATAAATATGGCTTGGAGAAAGTGCAGCCAGAAGGCTTGTTAATCATTTAACATGTATATGAAGCAATTGAAAATACCATGGCTTGGGTCAGGCACGTCTTAAGCGTGAAAGTGACATCCTCGTTCTTTTAGCACTTTATATGTAGTTATTGTTAATGTAAAATAAACAGTATTAGAGTCTGTAATGTACTATCTTTGATTCCCTCCTCTTATGACCTTGGATATTCTTGGTTAAAAATACTTGAAGTTGAAAGCATTTTTGCTAGCTTACCAACTTTTAATAATTGGAGGTAAGGCAGGTCAATTGTCATAACTTATACACAAAAGACGATTCTTCTTTTCTTCATAAGCAACACCATTTTTTGAGAGGAGAGGTGTCTGAAGCAGCAGAAGAAAGTAGCTACTTTCATTGAAATTTCATGAATAAATATGGTAGAAGACTTTGTTGTTGTTGTTATGGTAGAAGACATTATGTTCAGAGAATCATATTTTGAAACATGTCATTTAGCATGGCGTCTAGACCTCAGCAGGAAACTCGGAATTATGTCTGACCCTGACCCGAATCCACAACCAATGGAATTTAAACAATATTTATTTGCACAGTAGACTTAATTTGGGGCTTGTAAGTTTTATTTGGTTTGTTTTCTCATTCGACTTTAGGCACCCTATGTAATATTTTAATTCTAGAAAATAAGCCCGTTTAAAATTCTCATGATATGAAAACCAGCCAGTCAAGTTTAGTGTTTTGTTGGTGGTTGGTTTTGTTTTTTAAAAGCTTTGTGTCTAACAATGCACTCCTCTTCCCCTGCTTCCTTCCCAAACCCCCAATTTTCATGCTGCAGTGCTGAAATTTTGAACAGAAGAACTTCATTCATCTCCCCACTCCACCCCCTTCTTTAAAATAAGCGTACTGTCTTGGAAATACGGCTTTAAATTATCTCAGTACAAGCAATTACTGGAAATGTTCTCTGCACAGTTCAAGTTTGAATTTTAGATTCTAGGTTTTTTTCCCTATGTTTAATGATAATTGAATTTTATCATTACAATAACTGAGTTTTTCATCACTTTCAGCCATGTTAGATCCATATTTTTGATGCATCTTTCATATAGTAGGTTTGCTGAGTGAATGATGAAAGAAATGTGTTGTATGAACCTTGGAGCCATTAAAGAATGTACCCAATAACAGTGCCCAGTGTATTACCCAGTAACTGTAAATGCTTAATAAATGTGTATTGGGGAGCTCTGGTGGCCTAGTGGCAAGAAGCTGCACTGCAATCCCAGAGAAGCATGGTTCGAATCCACCAGATGCTCTGCCGGGAAAGGAGGGACAGTCTCCTCCTGTACCAGTCAGATCTGATTTGACGGTACACGCACACACACAAATAATAAAATAAAAATAAAAAAATTTTAAAAAAAATGTTTATTGTTAATGACTGAATGTGAGATGATTTGTAGTTTTGTCTTATAAGCCGATTTCAAAGAAAACATTTCATTTTTCAAATTTCAACAAAACTTACCACCCAAATTTCACCTGTTCTAGCACTCAGTGGCCAGCATATAATAGATTGTTCTTTGTCAATTTTAGGATCATTTACTGTTACCAGCTACCACTCATAATAAGACGACGAGACCAAAGATGTCTATTGTATTGCCAGCAATAAACATAAATGGTAAGTTTATATTTTTGTTGATGAAAGAATGCCTTGGAATTCCTTTGTAAACAGGTCCATTGTTGTTGTTGTTGTTGTTGTTGTTGTCATGTGCCTTCGAGTCACTTGCGACTCATAGCGACCCTATGTACAACAGCCCTAACCTTTGCTTTGTCCTGTGCCAGTCGCACTATCTCTGACACTCCCATCCCGATTATCCCAGTCACTGAATTAATTCACCTCATAGAGGGCCTTCCCCTCCTGTGCTGTCCCTCCACCCTCCCAAGCATGATGTCCTTCTCCAAGGACCGGTCTCTCCTTACAACATGTCTAAAGTATGTCAGACGGAGCCTCAGAATCCTTGCCTCCAGGGAGCCACCTGGTTTAACCCTTTCCAGGATGAATTTGTTCATAGGTCGACCAGGTCCTATAAATAAACTAAAACATTTATTCTATATATATCTATGTATAATTTTTTTAAACATTTTCCAATGCTTGCACAAAAGTACTATTATTTTGTGTGAAGGTTTACAATACATTGGTTTTTATATAGTCATTCATAGACATTTTAGTTTGTGACATTAATTACTGTTGGTTGGTTGATTGATTAATTATAATACCTAATCAAATTTCTGGTGATGTAGTCCTTAGGGAGTTGCACTTGTTAACCCTAAGGCAGTGCCTCTCTGGTAGTTTGAGTCTACCAGTGTCTTTGAGGAAAAAAGATTCTTTTCTCATGCTGTTTACAGTCTTTGAAAACCCAATGAAGGGTCAACTATGAGCTGGTTCTGACTCTACAACAATGGATTGAGTTGAATGAACCTGTTATTGTATATTGCCTTTCCTTTCACTCAACTTACATATTTATTAATTTTCACCCCCTTCTCCATCCTTTCCTATCCCGCTAGCCGTCTGAGATTGAGTATATCTGTGTGTAAACCTTTCCTCAACAAGGTGGATTGACACAGTAATGTAGCAGTTGGTTCAGGTTTGTTGGAGATGGTGATAATGGCACAGGATAGGGCAGAGTTCAGTTCCATTGTTCATAGGGTTGTTATGAGTCATACTCAGCTCAATAATCGCACATAACAACAACAGCAAATCCCTTTTTAATTACTACTCTGTTGCTGACTTCTTACTCAGTATAATTTGTTCTAGATTCAACTGTATTTTGCAGTATTTCATGAATTCTTGATAATTTTTTTGGTTGGTTATGTGCCATCTAGTTGGACCTAACTCCTAACTGACCCTCCAACAAATTTTAAGAAGCAGTGAATCACATGGGAGAAGATTGTGCATCTTTCTCTCTCAGAGAACCTGGTGGTTTTGAACTGTATGCTTTTGGGTTGGCAGCACAACTCTTTATACTAGAGTACCATCGTTTTTTAGCCACTCTTCTCTTGAACAACACTTGCGTTGTTTCTAGCTCTTTGCTATTGAAGATAATGCTCCAGTAAGCATTCATGTGTGGTGTTAGTGTGTGTTGCAAATCAGTATTCTTTTTAAAATGTCATCACTTGTTAACAATTTTATTTTATACTGGTTTACATTTTTTAAAAATGTTCTATATTTACTAAGGGAAAAAAATAGTTCTCTTTAATTTACAAAATAGGAGATGCTACATCCTGACTGATTTATTAACCTTTTGTTTGGTGCCATTCTGATCATCAGGGAATATAAAAAAATCTAGCTGTGTGCACTTTAAGTTGGAATATTGGAAATAAAAATGGTTTCCTGTGTTAACAATGTTGATATAATTACAGTGTTTTATAATTCCCAGACCAATTGCAGAAACCTTTTTGTTTCATTCATAAAACTGATGAGTTTTATATTGATAGCTGTACTCTTGCATTTTTTTGTTATTGTGACTACTGGGTATTAAAAATATACAAATAATGTTATTGTACTTTGAGACTATCCATTATCTTAAGGTATAGTATAGCCCTTATAATAGGAAAAATACAACATATTCAGAAAACACTATAATCCAAACAAGATGTTCCATGAAGAATCTACTAACTTAGAGCCATTGAGTTGGTTCCAACTCAGAGAGACTCTGTATCAGGTTTCTGAGAATATCAGTGGTAACAGGAAGACATTGCTCATCTTTCTCCCTCAGAGCCACAGAGGATTTGAACAGCTAGAGACTCACAGCCTTTGGATTAGCCGTACAGTTTGCTATGAACTGCAATACCAGAGCACAAAGAATTAAAGTACTGAGAAAATTCAGTGAGGGAAAGACTTCCTGCTAGATTTTTCCTGGAGGAGAGAGATATCTTCTAGTGCTGTGTTTTGTAATTGAACACAATGAACGTTATTGACTAATTGCTATTGATTTATGATAGTAAACTCTGTTGAAAATAGGAAAGTTGACCAGCCTTCTCAATCCCACTTGTAGGCCATAATAGAAGTATTTTAAAATTTTCTAGTAGTTAAAATGTAATTGTATATATGAAAGTGAAAAGCTCTTTGAATTAACTTGTAAGTAGATAATTTCCTGTCTAATCTGAGAGGGGAGCTCTGGTGGCCTGGTGACAGGAAACTGTGCTGCAATCCAAAGGCACATGGTTTGAATCCACCAGTTGCGCCACGAGAGAAGCAAGAGCATTCTTATCCTCTGTGATTAACTGCCTCTGCAAACCCGCCAGAGGGTCAGATACGGGTCAGTCCCTACTTGATGGTACCCAACAACAATACAGCAGTTAAATCTCTGAATGCAATTATGAAATAAAACAAGACACTAGGATCCTAAGTAAATTCCAGTAAGAACTAGTCTGAGAGAGCAAATATTAGATGTTGTATTTTATATTTTGAGACCATAGAGATAGACATTCATGAGCTATATTCAGACACATTACTAGGAATTCTGAGGAAGCAGCTTTATAAGCTTAAAATTAAAAATATAAATATTCTTTTGTTAAGGCATAAAAGAATTAAGAAATTTCCTTAATCTTACATTAAAGAAAAATATAAGAAGAAAGTAAAACTATAATGTTGTAAAGAATATCTTCTTTCAGTAAAGAAACATTTTCTAAGAACATTTATAGAAAAATCACACCGCTACTTCAAGAATGACAATATATTATGTTCTAAAGCACATTATATTACACTTCAAAGAATTTATTTAGGTAATTCCATTTCTTTACATCCCATTGGGACCTTGGTTTCTCCTCTTGTCAGCTCTTTCTCAGAGGGGCTGCTTCCTAAACTTTAATCAAAGCAGAATTAATTTTATTTTGTTCAGACATTGAGTTCTTGTGCAGGAGAATGTTTCATTTTATTTTATAGCAGTAAACTATCTGTTTACTATAGTAAGCTCAAAACACCAAGAGCTGTTTTACTCTGCTTATTTTCACCAAGGCACTTGGTTTTTGTTTGTTTTGGTTTTTTATTTTAATGAAAGTTTTCATAGATTTTGGATTTCCATTCATTCATTGTAAAGTTTTTCTCCCTGCACCCCCTCTCCAGTTCACTCTTCTCTTGAAAAGTAAAAGTCTTTGATTGGTATGCAATACCCCCCCGCCCCACAAATATGTTCCACTATGCAACCTTCATTCTGGACTCTTGTCATAACCATAATACCCTATCGTATATCACTTTTAAACTGTTCTCCCCCCATCTGTTTCAATGCAGTATACATAATTTATCCAATTTTTCTTAGTCTCACTCCAACCCTGATGTCAGTCCCATTCTACAACAGTGGCCCTATGCAGTATTTGTCCTTTTATGACTGAGATAGTACACTTAGCATAATGTCCTCCAGGGTCACCCATTTTGAATAATATTGCGTGAGTTCCTTGTTTTTCAATGCAGCATAGTATTCCATTGTGTGAATATACCAGAGCTGCTCTATCCACTCATATGTTGATGGGCACTTAGGTTGTTTCGAACTCTTTGCTATTGTGAACAAAGCCACGATAAACATGGGTGTGCATATATCTGCCTGGGTGGCAGTTATGGTTTCTTTAGGGTATATTCCCAGTAGAGGAATTGTTGGGTCATATGGTATTTCTATTTGCAACTTTTTGAGAAAGCTCCATACCGCCTTCCACAGGGGTTGCACTATTTTACACCCCCACCAACAGTGAATAAGGGTTCCAATTTCTCCACAACCTCGCCAGCATTTGTTGCTTGCTGTTCTGTTAAATTTTGCTATTCTAACTGGGGTGAGATGATATCTCATAGTTGTTTTGATTTGCATCTCTCTTAGAGCTAGGGATTTTGAACATTTCTTCATGTATTTGTTGGCCATCTGAATGTCTTCTTTGGTGAAGTGTCTGTTCATATCCTGAAGGCACTAGCTTTTTTAACATGATCATTTTCTAGATTTGGGAACATAGTTATTATAGGATCAGTTCCTTTTGACCTTTTTAAAAAATTACCTGTATCAAATTTTTAAAAAATGACTGAGTCTATAACGATATAGCTATACTATGTATATCTTCAGCCTCTTTGAATATTATCTTCACCTTCTTATTGTGTACTGTTGAGTTGGAACCAATTTATAGCTAACTGATCCTCCAGTGGCTTTTCAGAGGCAGTAAATTGCATGGGAAGAGATTGCCAATCCTACTACCACAGAACTGTTGGTGGATTTGGACTGCATGCCTTTGGGATTGCAGTGCAGCTTCTTACCATTTGGCCACCCGAGCTCCTCTTGCATTGAGGCTACATAACAAATTATGGAATGTTTCCCCCCCCCCACCACCACCATATGTACCTTATTGTTGTTATATGTTGTCAGGTTGACCACAACTCATGAATGGCAGATCTGAACCCTGCCCTATCCTGTACCATTCTCATAATCTTTGCCATACTTCAGCCCGTTGTTAAGGTTGCTGTGTCAATCCATCCAGAAGGTCTTCCCCTCTAAGCTGGTCCTCTCCTTTTCCAATGATTGATGCCTCCTAGTAACACACCCAAAGTATGTGAGACAAAGTTTTACGATATCTTTCCCTCCAAGGAGCACCCTGGCTGCACTCTCTCAAAGACTTGTTTCTTCCCTTAGCATTCCATGGCAT